TTGTATATGTGGAGTTTGACTTGCTGGTGAGACCCAAAAATGGAAATAAACAGAGAGAGTTGGACATACAGGTCTTTAACTCAAGAGAACTCAGGCCGGAAGGATAAATTTGGAATTCATCATGTAATAAGGTGTTAATTGAGGTGATGTGAGAGTATGAGACTGCCCAGGAAAGGGGACTCAAGGCCAGCATGTGATGCTTGTTACAGAAAACATGGAAAATACGAAGGGGAAAGAGAGAAATTTCCTCCAATTGCCAACATTTGCAAGATCTTTTGATAGCCACTTAATGTTTTTCTTCTGTTTTTTTTCTGGGTATTTTTCCCATTTTTAAATAGTTAAGTGTACAATCTTGTGTCCTGACATTTTTCTACTTGATATTATAGAAGTTTTTCCACATCGTGACAAATTCTTTATTCCAGAATCTTCTCACAATCATTTTCCCCACAGCGTCCTGTTTCCTGACTCTCATCTGGGTGGTGCATGGCAGCTTTTCACTCCTCTGCCTTCTTGTCATTCCTGATCACTCTCCCCACTGCCCTCCCCCGGTATAGATCACAAAGGCCCTTTCCCTCATGAAAGCCCTATGATTTTTAGCTAGAAGCTGATTATTAACTTCAAAGAGGAATTTCAGATTTCTACTTTGTCATCCTTCCTAATGGAAAGGTCATCTTGAGGAAACTTCCTGAAATCATCTCAGATAACTTATCAGTAAGTTCGTTTTTTGCCATTCTTTCTCACGTTCTCTTTAAGCAGCCTTTAGCAGACTCAACTTCCCATTTGATGCTTTAAAGGAGGTAGAATGGAATCAGTTATGCCATTGACATGTGATAGAAGCCATCACAATCAAAACACCAAAAATGCCTAACAAATCTAAGTTCTAAGCACAAGGTATTAGGTTAAACAAAAATGCAGGCACTTTATCAAAGTAGTCCTCAAGTCCTTAGACTACAAATGTGGAGAGTAAGACAATATATCTGAAAAACTAAATCAGATGTCTGTGGCACTATGATATCACTAGTAAAGTTAACTGTCAGCAATGATTTATTTAATATCTATATACCCTTTCATCAACATTAAATGATGAAACAAATGCCCATAAAGAAAATAAACATAGTTACAGATCATTATTTTTAGTTTGATATTTAGGTTCACAAACAAGACTTCAGTGATGAGAAAATGTATGCAATGATTTTAGCAGATACTTAGTATGTAGTGGATTCTCAATTTAAAAAATTATTTCTTAGCCTGGTGCGGTGGCTCACGCCTGTAATCCTAGCACTCTGGGAGGCCGAGGCGGGTGGATTGTTTGAGCTCAGGAGTTCGAGACCAGCCTGAGCAAGAGCGAGACCCCGTCTCTACTAAAATTAGAAAGAAATTAATTGGACAACTAAAAATATATAGAAAAAAAATTAGCTGGGCATGGTGGCACAATGCTGTAGTCCCAGCTACTCGGGAGGCTGAGGCAGGAGGATTGCTTGAGCCCAGGAGTTTGAGGTTGCTGTGAGCTAGGCTGACGCCACGGCACTCTAGCCCAGGCAACACAGTGAGACTCTGTCTCAAAAAAAAAAAAAAACAATCATGTTATTCTTATAGTGAAAACAGCTCTGTTTGTAATCTCACGAAGCCTTAGAGAGACAGGGACTCGCAAGGTCCCTAATCAATTCCTCCAAGGTGCCTGATAGCTCAATGGAGGCTCCAGGCCTCAGTTGTCTTGAAGAGTGTTGTCTTCCCCAGTATCAATGTTCAAGGCAACACTCTTCAAGATAACTGAGGCCTGGAGCCTCAGTCAAGCCATCTAGTGGGGCTTGCATCAGAAGGGCCAGTCTTGCTCTCCACTGGGCCAGTCTACTAAGCTAGACTCAATCCCACATCTGGATCCTCCATCTTGTCCGACCCCTGGCTATGCTGCCCCAGTGTGTGTGCAACCAGGCCTCAGTTTCCTTTCCCAGGGCACAGGTTCCTAATCCTGATTCACTCCAGATCACTTGGCTGGCATCCCAGAATCACTTTTTCCTTCTCAGTCTTTGTGCCTTGGACCTCCCATACAATGTTGACTAAAAGCGATGAGAGCAGACATCCTTGCCCTGTTCCCATTCTTTGAGAGAAAGTATTAAGTACAATGTTAACTGTACATTATTTGTAGAGGCTTTTTATTAAATCGAAGAAGTTGCCTCCTATTCCTAGTTTAGTGAGAGTTTTTATCATAAATAGGTATTGAATTTTGCCAAATGACTTTCTGCATATTAAAGTGACTAGTTTTCTCTTTTATTACTCCATTAATACCATGAGTTAAATCAAATGATTTTCAAATGTTAAACTAACCTCTCATTCATTCCTGGAATAAGCCTCACTTAGTCGTGATGTATTTATCTTCTTCATATATTGCAGGGTTTGTTTTGCTAATATGTTGTTTAAAATACCTGCTTCTATGCACATTGCAGGATGTTAGCCTGAGCTTTTCTCTTTTTGTGTTTGTTTGGTTTGATATCAGGTTTTTGCTGGCCTCATAAAATGAGTTGGGAAGTATATCCTTCTCCTCTGTTTCATTAAACACTTTGTCTATTTTTTTTCTTAAATACTTTGTTGAATTTACCGGTGAAGCCACCTGGGCCTTGAGTTTCTTTTGTGGGAGAGTTTTAATTACAAATACAATTTCTTTGATTTAGGGCTGCTCAGATTTTCTGTTTTCCCTGTGTCCATTTCAGAAAGTATTCTTGTCAAAGAAACTGCTCATTTCAACCGAGTTTTTGAATCTATTGGTATAAGATTTTTAAATAATATTTCTTTATGATCCATTTAATGTATATGGTAAATATATCAATGTCTCCTCTTTCATTCGAAAAATTGGTGAATTGTATTTTTAATTTTTCTTAATCAGTCTAGATAGGCGTTTGTCATTTTTATTTCCCTCTTCAAAGAACTAACTTTTGTTCACATTGATTCTCTCAACTGTGCATCCATTTCCTGTTTTGTTGACTTTTCA